TATTATTATTATTATTATTATTATTATTATTATTATTATTATTATTATTATTATTATTATTATTATTATTAAGTGCCTACATCGGGGGGGAGGGGGGCAGGTAGGCAAAATCCCAAAAAAGCATTTTAAGAGAACAGAAAAAACATTACATAGATAGATTTTGAAAATCTGAACATAAAATCTTTGTAATGACAAGTGCGAATAAATAATCAAAATGTAAAGCCAAGGATTTTTTTTGTTTTTTATATGTTTTTGGGAATCAATCTTCATTTTCAGTGACTGGAGTACTGTAGTCCCTGAAGTTTTCTTGGCAAGCTTTTTGGAAGTGATTTTCTCTTGCTTTCTCCCTAAGGCTGACAGAGAGTAAATGGCCCATGGTTACCCAGCTGGCTTCATTCCTAAAGTGGGACTTGAACTCGTAGTCTCCTTGAATGTAGCCTGGTGTCCTTAATCACTGTTCAAAACTAGTTATCTAGTAATTTTACACCCTATATAATGCAAATAACCCACCCTATTTCTCAATGGAATATGGGGGGGGAAGCCCATCTTCGTTAAATATAGAATAAAGAGTGGGAGAGCAACAGATTAAACTAAATGAAGTATGATTTCAAGCAAATTGCTGCGCCTTTCAAAAAATCTTTCTATTCTGAAATAAGAATGTCTTCCACCTACCCTCATAATGCCTTTCAAGGCAATAAAATATCTACCTAGCTTTACATAGATTAAAAAAAAATAATGTGTGTTATTCTACAGCAATCCATAATTCTAATCCTTTAAGTTTAAAATATTACAAAAAAACTCTAGGAAAAAATATTTCACAAATGATTAAATTCTAGTTTTCTAGTAACTACTATAAAGTAGAGGAAGATGCAGATAACAGTTTGCAGCCTATGTCCATCAACGTATTGAAATATCTAAGTCTTGGTCCCTTTATAATGACTGATAAGAAGAAATCTCCATAGCTTTTTACTATGAGTAGAAGTCAGAAGTAAAGAAAAAGAATTGAACTATGCTGGCATATACTCACAGTCAAAGTACAACTAAGCATATACTTCTAATTAATCATATTTTTTTATTCTCTGATGAATGTAGACTCTTATATAGGAGATCACATTTAGTAACAGGATATGAGAAACAAATAATTCAAAATAACTTTAAAAAATCAAGTGCACTCATGAGGTGTTATACTGTACCTAATGGAGGAAAAAATAATAAGATAATTTAAACAGCTATATGACAATTTTAGTGACCCCTTTTCTGATCTACAGAGGCAAATTACAAAAAACTAATGGATGATGCCAACAGTAAAAGAAATTCCTGATAATAGTAAGTAATAAACAATAATTAAACAACCATAATGAGCTATGATTGAGCTATAGCTTTAAAAAATTTTTATCTAGGAACAAGGAAAATATGAATTATTATATACCTTGAAAACTGTACTCTATGAAATTATCACTTATTAAGATTTTTACATGGTGAAATGATTAAAAAGGTTAAGGATAAAAGGACATCTAAATCAATAATATTGTTCTCGTTACCTCTTATTTTCTTCTGCTAAAAGACTCAAAGCATGGGTAATCTCAGCACATGCTAGAATTGCTCCATGTCGGGTATGGAGATCTATACCAACTGCTAAAGTCAGCAGCTTTGGTACAACTGTAAGACACATAATACGAAAAGTGGTAAGTTAAATTACACAACAATCTCTTCTATACAGAGATTTTCTAGAGAGAACATACCGGTATTTTCTTATGGTAGTTTAGAAAATAGAAGACTAATGGGGTTTTCCAAAGGGCAAATAAGCCTCAGAGACCACAAAAAATAAGAACGTACGTTCCAAAGGTGCTTTTTTCAAAAGGCAACTGGACTTTGTTTTTCCTTGAAGACGTTTTGCTTCTCATCCGAGAAGCTTCTTCAGTCCACCATTCAGTCAGAACTGTACCTGAACTGAATGGTCCCAAAAAGCATCCAGGACATGACTGAGAATCTCCATAGACATAAGAATGTAAGATAAGCCTTCTAGATTAGGAAAGGGTCTATTTTAGCATTTTGTGCATTTAGGAAACTTGCAACATGAACAAGGTGGCAAGAGCCCTCCTCCCACCAATACAGCAACATCAAGACTAGTATTGTTCGATTGCCTGAATTTGTCAGTCTGCTTTTAAACCATCTAAGTTGATAACCATCATCATATCTGATGGCGTCATATTCCACAATATTTCTTGTTATTGCATTAAGCTTCAATGGATGACTCCAAATTCCAACACAGTAAATGGAAAGGGGTAATTCAAACTTCTCTACCCATCTTTATTTTAAGCTACAAGAAAATCCCAGGTACCATAGTCTTTGCTTCAGTCCTTATACTAATTTTAGTTATTATTTTCTACACCATTTCCTATATTACATTATCCTCTTTTAAGCTCAGTGACCAGAACTGTTCACAGTGTTCCAGCTGTGGCCCCATCACAAATTTATAAAACGTGCTACAATATTAGCAGCTTTTAAAATAATCTTTCTAATAATTCCTCATCTGGGACTAATTCTTTTTATAGCAGCCTCTATGTGGGCTGTCGTTTTTAATAAGCAATCTAATTGCTAATTGCAAAGTTAGGGCAAAATGATCCATGTCCGCTTTGAACTTGCTCCATGAAACTTATATTTATGTGCAAGGTACAAAAACCTGTTAAAATAATAGTCATCACATTCTTTGTTGCTGACTTCTATTCATAATTGTCAATTAATTTAAAATGCATAGGAAGGCGTTACAGAAAATAATAAGCATAATAGAGATGACCAGAAAATCTCACATGTTAAGCAAAAGGAGCATTGAACAATTCTCAGCACTTACACAGTATAACAATATCTCTAATATTGGTTGGAATAAAGCATAGAAATTTTATTTTTAAAACTATGGCTTTATACATTTATAATTTTTTTAATCAATAATAAGCTTTTGAGATTTGGAATTACTCTATGAACCAGACAGGATGCAATCTTATATCTTATAACTGGACCAAGGCCTGTTGAATGCAATGCAATTTATTTATGCATAAATACACATATAAATATATACTGCTAAGTAAATATTTTGATCAAGGTGCTTATATAGTTTGTAAGTGTGCAATCTAAGATTAAGTGTTGATTTCTTTTTGAGCTCATTCTAGGCACTTTTGAATGCAAGAGTGTTTGTACTCACCTTCCCTGGTCATATATTCAGGAGCCAATGGAGTGAGATTATGCAGAGCTTTGGATGAAAGCTCCCGAATAACACTAAAAAATCAGGAAGAAAGATGAGAACCAATAAATATGTAATTTATTTTGCATATTTCTATGTCAATCACTCAGGCACAAGCACTTAAAAATAGAAATGTGGAAACACATTTGTGGAAACAGTGTTAGTTAGAAAAAAACCCTCATTAAATACAGCTACTATTAGAGTTCCAAAGTCTCTTATCAATGAATCAGAAGCTGTTCAAGTAGAAATCCACTACTTTTTTCATAGAAGCCATACTCTGTAACTTTGCTACCCACTTTCTTTTCTGGAATAGTCACTTCCAGAAACCCAAAAACCTCAGAATGTCCAGTTCACTGTGTTCCAGGAAAAAAGCAGAATGAACCAGGAGTTCATTTTTAGAGTGGTGAGCAGATATGAAATGTTGACTTTATATGTATTTTCATAATGCTGTTGCCATTGATTTATCAGAGAGTAAGCTAGTATTCACTTTGTACTGTCCTTTCTATTTCTTCTTCCTCTAGTTGTCTGACTGGAAGTTAGAAGACTGCCTGAGGCCCAAAACCCCAACTGGGTGACTCTTTGTCTAGCCTAGGAAGGAGGCACTGGCAAACATTTCCAAAAATCCTTGCCAAGAAGACTGCAGACATTACTTCAAGCTACCACCAAGAACCAATGGGGATGTGAAGGAACAAAAATAAAAACAAAATAATAGTGAGCATATCAGCTAAGGATTCACCATTATTAATTCAATTATTATTAATTCAATTCAATTAATTCAATCTCAAAAAGGAAAATATTGGCATTAATTCATTTCGTTATCGAACTTGATTTGAATGATGTCATAACCTTCAGAAATGAGTGAACTAGTGTTAGCAATTTGTAGAAATGTGAATTTCCAGATTAAAAAAGAAGAAAAAAATACATTACTAACACATTTTAGAAAAGAATTGTTTTTTATGATCAAATTATTACAAATCAGCACAATTAAACATACCAATCCCAGTGGTTGATCTTCATGTTAATCAGATGATCAATCATTGGCTGTGTATACTCAGGAAATCCAGCAACATATACACTGAGGAAATTGAATAAATACATAAAAATCACAGAAAGATTGCTCAACATTTGTTCCATGTAATATTGGGGCAATATTCCTATCTACAGCAAAGAACCTGTTTTTCTAACAGTTCTGTCAAAGATTTCTATATCATTAATTTTAAAAGAAATAATTTTTTTCTACCTTTTTCCACTAGAATATAAAAAGGTGATATGGTGCTACATTTGCTTCATACACTGAACTGGGGAAACTCACAAGCATGGATCTGGAGGGTAATAACCGTCGATTGTACTTTCAATATTTAAGGAGAACTTGTGATTCATAAGAGAATATACTGCTACCATGGTAAGACATAAATTCATCTCTATAATTAAATGAATTATATTTAACAGGTCAAATAGTCAGATTAGACATCCATATTTTTCACAAGTGTCCTCTCTAAGCAATTGTGTTGAATTCTACCATAGATTATAACAATCTTTTCAAAATAATAGAAAACAGAACATTTTATAATCAAGTATTGCAGATTACAAACTCACATTTTCTTAAAATCTAGAGATGTATTTCAACTGCAATTTGATTAGCTAAATGACATGCAGCAGCAGGTCTAAAAATAAAACTGGATACATTTTCTGCTATTGACAAAATCCCAGAAGCAGCTTCAGGAACTTACAGGGTTTTAAATTGTAGGATGTTAAGGTATGCAACATTAGTTGTATTAAATATTTAGAAGCAATTATTATGAACATTCAAATATAGTTTAAAATGCATAATTGTGAAGATATAAATTATTCCAATATATTTTTCTTATGGTTATTCATTAGAATTACAGCAGTTAAAACAAACTTGCTTCTAAAATCCTTAAAACAGACGCTTTGGAAAATCAGAATGCAAAGATCCCACATTTCTCTATTCCCTTCAAAGGACTGAATGGAGAAGGGCTGGGAGAAAATCCAAGACATTCCTCAATAAAAAAAAACCCTACCACTGAGTTAGATCTTTTCATTTATCTGCGTAATTTAAAAAGCAATTCTAAAATAATTGGTCATTCCTACAGAAAGCCAAGCCTATAAGTCAATATTCCCTAAGAATCATGAGGGTTACCATAAAATCTTTGATCATCACCTGTTGCAGAGAATGGAACTTTCGTATTCCAGGTCATAAAAGACCCATAATTATCATCATTCTTAATCAGCTGTTTAAGAAAAACTGGAAAGAACTGTCTCCACCCTACTGGCATTGTCTTGTTATTCTTGAGCCATGGAAAGAAGAATTGAGAAACTGGCTGTGTGTAGGAAGAAGGTGTAGGAAAGAAGGGTGGAGTATGATGGAGATGGGTTAATCCTTATAGATTAAAGGATCACAAATATTGTAACTTAGGACCTATGTAGTAACAGAAATAAGAAAGCACACTTCAACCTTTTAATATATGAAGATACTTTCTTCCTAAAGCAGGAATTCATATTCTGCACCACAAAGCCAGGAGGTCAGACTACATTTATGAAAAATGTGTCATTTAGCCAGAACAGAGAGATTTTCTTTCCTGAAGGCCTCCTTTCTTGGGCATGGGCTCTCCCATCAAACAGATGCTTGTAAATCTTCAACCAGTACCTTTTATATTCCCATTACCATATTTTTTCGTGTATAAGACGCTATTTTTTCCTGCAAACACCCTGTTCAAAAATCAGGTGCGTCTTATACACGAAAAAATAATGGTAACCTCCGCAGCCCAGGGCATGCCTGTGCGGGTTCTTTACATGCCGTTGCCATGCCGCCTGATGCAGGTGTCAAGCCCCTATGGGCTTGCCACTAGCGGGAGGGGGGAGGGGGCAAGATCGTCAGATGGCGGCATCCAGAGGCAGCGGATGGGACCAACAGCATGGATGGCAGCGACAGCCCTTTCCCTCCCTCACACCTGTATGCTGGCTGGCGACCCTGTGGAATGCAGCTGCAAGGCCATCCTGCTTGATAATAGTGGGCAGCAAAACTTCCGGATTTGCCGGCTCAGCTATTCAGCGCTCTGCCGAACAGTTGATCGGCACGGAGAAATGGCGGGAAGTTTAAAACCTGCCTTTGCTTCCCTTGCCTTGCTGTCATGCCGGTGCTTACGCCAGTTTGTTTACCAGGGTCGGAAGGCTGTTGCTGTGAACTGACTATGCATGCTCATCGTGCCGGATGCTGGTTACGTGGGTTGGGGGTGGGGCCAGCCGGGAGGTGTCTATTTAGAGCGCTGGGAGGTGGTTGCTCCCAGCGTTGACTTTGTTTGCTGTAAACTTGGAACTCACATGCCAGAGCATCTTATACAAGGGTGTGTCTTATACACGGAAAAATATGGTAGTTCACTCATATGAACTAGTAGCTACGTGGATTCTGCTTCACAGGTTTGAGAATTCAAACCAGTGGTGGGATTCAGCTGGTTCGCATCAATTCGGCAGAACTGGTAGCTAATTTTTGTGGACTTCCGGAAGCGGCATCAACACAGAGAACCGGTTGTTCACGTATTTGAATCCCACCATTGATTCAAACTGATGATCAGGGTACATTTTGGTTTTGGACTGATATATATTTGCACAGACTGAAATGGTAAGAGTATGGCTAAATAATTTTAGAGTTTGCTATTGTAGTTTTGAATGTCTTCCCTAAGTCAGAAAAATTACATGTAATACTGTAATTTTTTTCCAGAAAAGAACTTGATTAACCAAACTATGGCAGTCAAAACTAAGAGCTGCATTCTATATTAACCCAGTAAAAAAAGTGAAGAAGCTAGATAAGACCAGATACTCATAATGAATATTACAGGTAGATCTGAGCTCTGTCAGAATGCCTTAAGAACTTTAAGGGCATGAATATGTAATATTGGAAGGCTGCTCTGTGAAGTGCCATCTAAACTATAGCTTGAAGTCTTCACGCACTGCATCCCCTTAGAAATACAGACAGATATTCCAAAGGTTTCCGCATGATACCCGAGCATGTAGGTACATGTGCACAAATAACACTTCTATTATTAATACTGCCAAAACAAAGTATTTTGTTGAGCAATGAGTTTTAAAGGACATTTTGGTGTCTAAGACCCAATGGATCCTGAGCCCTTGGTTATGACAAACCTCTATGCTAACAAAGATAACTCACTACCTTATCATCTCACTACCGTGAAATCCTGACTCTTAGTCTTTGTTCTAAATCAAATTCTATGGGCTCTGAAATTTCTTGTAATTAGATTGTTCTAAGAAAAATAAAATGCCAGCATGTTCATTCAACAAAGAATATTGTAGAACCATGCTGATCTTCTCTCAGTTATATGAATATAATTACAGATAGAAGTATGAAAATAAATTTTAAAGAAAAACAGTGTCATGTTTCTTCTTTGCTTTAAATTTATAGTATTCTTACCTTATATTGAGAAAACAATTAGCTCTGTTACCAACAGCAAAATAATCAGCTGTAGTCACAATGTCAATTCCATGCGGAAAAGTCCCCTATGAAAGTTAGGACACAAAAATAGAAATCACACATAATTCCAAATTTTTACTTTGAAAAGTTGCTAGCGCATTATTAGAATAACTTTCCTTTGGGGGAAAAATATATTCTGCTTTATAAATTCAACCACAAAATGAAACTGTTGATGGTAGTTATTGCGACTTAATTTCCAAAAAATACTGATTGATAAAAGACAAGTATTAAAATTGCTAAGACAAAATTCTGAAGCATATTCAGTATTCTTCAACTGATTGGATATGAATAAAAGAGCAACTAAAATGACAGTTGTAAAATAGGAGAATGAACATAGGTGTAGGCATAGTTTAGCTCAGTTTTCAGTAATTCTTATTAAAGTCACAATAAATTAGAAGGCTACAGATGCATTTTAATGAATATGTAAAAGCTAAATTTAAACAGAATATAGGGTGACTCTGTGTCAAACCTCCCCCTATCCCACCTTCTCCTACATTTCCCTGAGCTCGTTTTGAGCAAAAACAAAATTGATATTCATATTTGTGTTTACCCGAACTATAATACAGCTTTCTACACTTCCAGACCAGATAAAGTGAACAGTTGCATTCAGTGAAAAGAAGTTTCCTTAAAATCTCATAACAAGACGAGGGAAAGGACGGGGTAAAAGCAGCAGTAAAATGTATGGATGCATGGAGAAAGGTCTGGCTAGACACCCTTATTGATTATACTTAGAATATAGGAATACTTGAGAACAATTGTGAACTTTTTATAAATCTCTGCAGTCCATGAAGAGCACTGTTAAAAAGATATTGCTGATACTTAGATGGTCTTCCAAAGTAGATATTCTGTATGATCAGTTTATTTATTAGAATGCTTACAAACTGTTCCAATTAAAATAATCTGAGTGGCATATAATTCGTCACCTCTATAAAGTCATATTAAAAGCAAAATTATACAGATCAATATAAATATTAACCATAAGACAAATGAATATAGAAAAAATGTAAAGTACATAAAAACCAGAACTATCCAGGAAGGTAAATCAGTACATCCTTCATGAACAAAAATATACTTTTAGGTACACATTTTAAGAACACCATGGCCAAGAAATAAAATTGCAATTTTATAGTATGAAACAAACGTAGAAAGAAAACACATTCTATCAAACAAACTATTCTACCAAACAAACTATCCAGGTATTAACTTGGTAAACAAACAATGCCAATGTCAGCACTAAGAGAAAACATTTTCCCAAACCAAGAACAATTGAGATAGCATACTTAATTTTATATGCTTCTCCTTCTTACAAATTATACATTGCCTCTAGAATACAGGTAGTCCTCGACTTATTTTGAGCCCAAAATTTCTGTTGTTAAATGAGTTTTGCCCCATTTTACGACCTTTCTTGTCACAGTTGTTAAGTGGATCACTGCAGTTGTTAAGTTAGTCACATGGTTGTTAAGTGAATCTGGTTTCCCCATTGACTTTGCTTGTCAGAAAGTCGCAAAAGGGGATCACATGAGCCTGGGAATCTGAAACCACCATAAACATGAACCAGTCATAGAACCAGTCAAGTATCTGAAGTTTGATCACATGATCATAGGGTTGCTGCAAAGGTTGTAACTGTGAAAAATGGTCATAAGTCACTTTTTTCAGTGCTGTTGTAACTCTGAACGGTCAGTAAATGAACTGTTGTAAGTCGAGGACTACCTTTGTTTGGAACTGCATTTATTCCTTACGTTAACTCTGACATCTCATTAATCTCCGTATGACCAAAAGTTGCTTTCAGTTTTATTGATAAATACATTTGCTATAAATAACTGTGTTAATGATAGAATCTGTATGATTATATAATAATTATTACATATATGGCCCATGCAATAATTGCAATATCATTTTTTAAATGGCCCGAGTATAAAACGTATTTATGATGACTGTGTCTCAAATAAATCCTTCAGAGCAAAACAGACATTTTGGCTTCTGAAACGTTGCAAAACAGCACCCACTCCCTTCCATTATGAATTACTGCCGTGTCGTTTTTGACTCACAGTCAGTCAGCATACATAAATATTTAAGATAGAAACAAATTTAGATTTTGCTGTATCTGGTAATAAAATGGAAAAAGACCAAACCAGCCAAAATTGTAGAATGTGGGATGTGCATAGCATTCCATACACAGAGTATGGATCTGTATGGATCAGACTCTGCTGAGACCAAATCATAGACTGCGTGTTTATGCACGGCGTTGAAGCATGCATGTTAGTTTTTGAGGAAAAAGAAGACAGGGGTACGTGGCAGTGGAGAGGTAGGGCTGGTGGAAGGGCTACTGCAGGCAGGACAGCAGCAGCAGCAGGTAAAGAAAAGGCATGAAAGGCTGAATGGACTTGGGTGGACATAGCAAATAAGCTACACTTGAATTCAAGACTGACAATGGCTAAGGGGAGATTAAGAGGAAAGAACATATTAGGAAGTAGATGAGAAGAAGGGAGAGAGGGACAAGACATACCAGCCTTTCCATAATTTGCCCTCATAACTCTCCAGATTTGTCTTGGTCAAATATCAGATGAACCTAAATGATTTTGGTTTGGATTCTGACCTGTCCAATGCTCTGGTTGTTTTTCCAAGCCACAAGGTGTTAGTCTTGACACAGAACAAAGGATTTTATTTTTGTTTCACGCTGCACATAATTATCAATGAGATAGATTAAAATAATCATAATATTTTATGCTCAAATCCAGCCATTCTTTATTTATTTGTACTCCACCTTTACAAATAACTCAAGGTGGCAAACATACCCAAACACCCTCCTTCTCCTATTTTCCTCAGAACAATAACCTTGTGAGATGAGTTCGGCTGAGAGAGAGAGTGACTGGCCCAAAGTTACCTACTCAGCCTTCATGCCTACGGTCGGACTTGAACTCACACTCTCCTGCTTTCTAACCTGGTGCCTTAACCCAAAATGTCTACCTTTTGTCTGAAGTTTTTACAGCCAAAATAAGGCTATTCCCCCTTGATATTTTAACAGATTTCTCCTTGATATTTTAATGGATGAATTAATTCTTTTTGTAAGACTCCTTGCAGAAGAAATAGAAACCATATGTTGATCCATTTAATTAAAGATGGAGGAAATCTATATACAACCAAAACATACTTCAACTGAAGCATGATCACTTATGTGATCATGCTTATGGATGTCATAAATATGGAGTCATAAATATGGATGTTCATATAGATAAGGTATCTTGATAGTAATAATATTCTAACATTTGGGTATAAAATTATGACTTATTCTTGGATTTTCCCACGATCATTAGTGGACCGCCAATATAAAACCAATTCCAAAATAAAATGTTCCTTCCATTATTGTATCAAGTTACCCAGATCTTTTCCAACACATCTCATTTATCCTTAGGATATCAATTTGTAATCTCTTCATCTTCTTGGCAGAGCTCTTCTATTTTGCATAAAATGTTAATGTTTTAGTCTGCAATCATCACCACTGATCTGGAGATTCTTCAAAACCTTTTATGTTTTTTTTTTCTCAGCGTCTCAAGTATCTGCAGTAATACATACATTAAGAAATACTTCTGCTAAGGAAAGTCACTTCAATTTGGAAACATGAATAAAAATGCAAGTATACAATGGGGATACTTTTCTTGATAATAAACAACTAAAGTTCAAAAGTTCTCAAGCAACAACTAGGCTTCATATGGCACCAAAAATAAGTAGCAGGTAAACCTCTATGGAGGGGATAGTCCACACAATGATCATTGTGAAAAAGCCTTATTAGAAGACCATGAAGAAGAGCCTTAGAATGATATCACAGTTCTGGAAAGTAAATAAAGAAATAATCATTCTTTTTAGGCAGAAATTTGTCTCTAAGTTTGCTGCTTAGCTTCCGGATGGTTCCCAGGAGCCAAGCAGCAAGCTTGGAGGACAGACCTCTGCCTAAATCTACAACCCGAGCTACAAATATTCTCTACAGTCTCTAAATAATGATTCTTTCAGATATCCCATTGAGGACTTTACAGACTATGAACTGCACTTTGAACCGGATCTGAAAACAGACCAGCTGGTCTGCCAATGCAGATAGCAAACTACTGTTACGATGTGATTATTCTATTATCCTGATTTGAATTAGCTGAAATGTACACATTTTTCAAAGGGCATGACCATGTACTTAAATTACCTGAATGACAATTGTCCACAGTGCAGTTCCCTAGATGCTATAAACAGCATGTTTGGTAAGGAATCTTATTATACACCAAGGTAAAAGCACCTTTAACAATTGACTACCCACTACCCACTGCATTTGATAATTTGAAATGGACTTTTCTGATTAAAATCCTGAAGGACAATGGATTTTGGAATTTTTTAAAATTAACAAATAACATCTGTATATACTTCAAAAAAAGGCACAAATTATAGCTAATGGGGAACTAATAAAACCTTGTAATAGGGACATGGCAAGGATGTCCGCTGTTACTATTCATTCTAACCCTTGAAGTTTTAAATAGAGATGTAAGATACAACAAAAGAATTGCTAGAATGAAAGTTAAAAACTCTATAAAATTTCCAGATGGTTTGGTTTTAATTTTGGGAAATCCTATGGAAGGAATAGAGATGTTAATGGTGTTGGTGGAAAAGTTAAAAAATGGTGTATTCGCTATTTTTATAATTAACTGTCAAAAAGGTGTTAAGAAAAATATGAAGATGGAAGATCAAAAAGAAATTATTGTAAACACTGGTTTTTAGATTGAGAAAAAGTAAAATACCAAGATTAATATGAATTAATCAAAATAATTATGCTTAATTTGAGGAGGGGGCTGGACTAGAAGGTCCCTTCCAATTCTGTTATTCTTTGAATTATGTTAAGGCATGGTATGGAATAAAATTCTTAAGATGGAAAAGTAACAATTATCACCTGTTGGCGAGAATTTCAATGGTAAAAATGAAAGTAGAGTCAGCTTGGTCTAGTGGTCAAGGCATCAGGCTAGAAAGCAGGGGACCTTAGTCTACGCCTGCC